AATTACTTGTCATCTTGGAACCATGTAGGACGAGGTCAAGTTAGTACAAGAGGTCAACCCAGATACAGTCCTATATACTTACCTTACAAGGGAACTGTTCCTCATGATGGCAGCCAGAGCATTGTTTGTTGGAAATGTGGACAAATAGGACATTTGTTGCGTGGATGTAGGGTTATTATGGACCATAACTGGACTTTAAACACAGGCAGGCCCATGGAGACTGGCAACACATGGGCCAACCCACAAGCACGCCAGGAACGACGTCCAGCCCACCTCCAGAAGGATTGATTGGAAAAGCAAATGAAGCCAGTGTCACAGTATGTGGTACAGTATGCACAGCTTTACTTGATACAGGATCCACAGTATCTACTGTAAATGAATCTTTCTACAGGAATCACCTTTCTCATCTTTCATTGCATCAACTGGAACGTATTTTGGACATTGAATGTGCAGATGGTGGAACATTGCCCTACTTAGGATATGTTGAGAGTGAATTGTTTGTCCCAGACCTTGATTTACCGGACACTTTACCTTGCTTACTACTAGTTGTAGCAGACAGCAGATATAACTTGTCAGTGCCAGTATTGTTGGGTACCAATGTCTTGTCAACCTTGATGGAAAGATGCAAGTCAACAATGGGTCCTAGGTTTCTACAGAAAGCATCAGTTCACACTCCTTGGTATTTGTCATTCAGGAATATGGTCATTTATGAGAAGAAACTAGCAAAGAATGATTGGAGATTAGGACTTGTCAAGAGTGCCGAACATAGGAACATAGTTATTCCAGCAAACTCACAAGTTGTTGTCCAGGGTTATGTTGATAAGGAACTCAATTATCCTCAAGCTCTTGCCACACTACAGCAAAGTCAGAGTGCAACTATTCCATCAGACATAGATGTTTCCCCAACACTCATGTTGTACAAATATAAGAAGCAGGATCCTATCCAGGTACACTTGTCAAATGTTACCACTCGTACTGTTGTTATCCCGCCAAGGTCTGTACTTTGTGAACTTCAGCCAGTATCAGTAGAAGAGACAGAGCTGAATCAGTCATCCAATACCGAGTCAATTTTAAACCTTATTGATATCAATGACAAAGGACTTACCCCAGAGGAGTTGGATAAAGGTGTTAAGCTCATTTCAAAGTACATTGATGTCTTTTCAAGTGGAGAATTAGATCTTGGTCATTCAACTGCTGTACAGCATCGTATTGAGTTAGTGGATGAAACTCCTTTCAAACAGAGGCATCGACGTATTCCTCCATCAATGTTTCAGGAGGTGAAAGATCATCTTAAACAGTTGCTAGCATGTGGAGTTATACGTAGATCTCATAGTCCTTGGGCTTCCAATATAGTTCTTTGTAGAAAGAAGAATGGAAAACTTAGAATGTGCGTGGACTTTAGACAGTTAAACAATTCCACTATCAAAGACAGTTTTGCTCTACCAAGGATAGAGGAAACGTTAGATTGTCTCGCGGGCAGTAAGTTTTTCACAAAGTTGGATTTAAAATCTGGATATTACCAAGTTGAACTTGCAGAAGAACATAAGGAGCGTACTGCTTTTACAGTTGGCCCCCTGGGTTTCTTTGAGTATAATAGGCTCCCGTTTGGTCTATGTAACAGTCCTGCAACATTTCAACGTCTCATGCAAGATTGTCTTGGAGATTTGCATTTGTCGATTTGTGTGATATATATTGATGATCTAATCATATTTGCTGATAGCTATGAGGAACACTTGGATCGTCTTGCCAAAGTTTTGGACCGCTTACGACAATGCAATTTGAAATTGTCACCTGACAAGTGTGAATTCTTCAAAGAGAAAGTTGCCTATGTTGGACATGTCATTTCCAAGGATGGAGTTGAACCAGATCCTACAAAAGTGGAAGCCATCAAAAACTGGCCACGACCTACAAACCCTTTTGAGGTAAGGAAGTTTCTAGGTTTTGCAGGATACTACAGACGATTTGTAGAGAATTTCTCCAAGATATCTAAGCCTTTGTCACAATTAATGCCTAGTCCAAAAGACAAGAAAGGAAAATCTACCGTGGAATGGATCTGGGGAGATTCTCAGGAAGCAGCATTTCAGGAGCTGAAAGATAGACTTTCATCACCGCCAGTGTTAGGTTACTGTGATTATTCTATCCCATTTGAGCTCCATACTGATGCCAGCCAACGAGGTTTGGGTGCTGTCCTATATCAATGTCAAGGTGCCAAACAGAGGGTCATTGCCTATGCCAGCCGTGGATTGTCAAGGTCAGAGCAAAATTATTCAGCCCACAAATTGGAATTTCTTGCACTGAAATGGTCAATTACCGAGAAGTTCCACGATTACCTTTTTGGGAACCAATTCACAGTATACACAGATAACAACCCGTTGACCTACATTCTGACAACTGCCAAGCTCGATGCAACTGGTCACAGATGGCTCGCTGCCTTGTCAGCTTACAATTTTGATGTGAAATACAGACCTGGAAAATCTAACATAGATGCGGATGTGTTGTCACGAATTCCAGATAAAACAACAGAACCTGAAGTTAGTCAGATTTCTTCTGAATCTGTTAAGGCTATCTGTAACTCTGTTTCTGCATCCAATTATGTTGAGTGTCTAAGCATGTCCCCCGAGTCAGTTGATGTTGGTGATATAGGTCATGATCTGAAGAGCATGTCACCTAAGGATTGGAGACGTGAACAGTTCCATGATCCAGCCCTTGCAGATATCATCAAATGGATCCGAACAGGACAAAAGCCAAGACATGACTACATGCACTCCAGTGAATTTACAGCCCTATCTCGAAGCTTTGACAACCTGAAACTGAAGCAAGGTGTATTATACAGAGTAACTGCTACAGATGATGAACTTACTGAACAGTTGGTAATACCTTATCATCTCCGTCCACAAGTTCTCAGAAGTCTTCATGATGATATGGGTCATTTAGGACGAGACAGAACTTTGGTGTTGGTAAGAGAGCGATTCTTTTGGCCTGGAATGGCAAGCCAAGTTGAGAAGTGGGTCAAGGACTGTCCGAGATGTTTACGTCGAAAGTCAGCAACTAATACAAGAGCTCCCTTAGTAAACATTGAGACTACATATCCACTGGAACTAGTTGCTATGGATTTTCTCACTTTGGAACCTTCAAAGGGAAACTATCAGCACATCCTTGTGATCACTGATCACTTTACCAAGTATTCTCAAGCCATTCCCACTAGAAATATGACTGCTCGTACAACAGCTGAAGCATTTCTGAACCATTTCGTTGTACATTATGGTTTACCAGCAAGAATCCATTCAGATCAAGGTGCCAACTTTGAAAGTCGTCTTATAGAAGAACTTTGTACAATTACCGGAATGAAAAAGTCAAGAACAACGCCGTACCATCCCATGGGTAATGGTCAGACTGAGCGCTTCAACCGAACACTTTTGAACATGCTTGGAACTCTTCAACCTGACCAAAAGAAGGATTGGAAAATGCATGTGTCTCCTCTAGTTCATGCCTACAATTGTACCAAACATGAAACTACTGGGTATTCTCCGTTTTATTTGATGTTTGGACGTCATCCACGATTGCCGATAGACCTTGCATTTGGAATTGACCGGGATCACACCAGCCAGTCATTACAATCCTACACAACGTCTCTTCGTGATAGACTGAAGAAATCTTATGAACTAGCCACTAATATCACTCAAAAGTCTAAAGGAAAACAAAAACAGAACTATGATCAAAGAGCAAGAGGAGCAGCTGTACATGTTGGTGATAGAGTGCTAGTGAGAACTCTTGCCTTTGAAGGTAAACATAAGCTAGCAGACAGATGGGAAGTGAATGCTTATGTTGTCAAAGGACACCCAAACCCTACTATACCTGTATTTGTTGTGGAACCTGAGTGTGGGGAGGGTCGAGTAAGAACTTTGCATCGGAATCACCTTCTCCCCATTGGAAGCGTGGATACAGGACCAGGAAAACCACAGCCAAAACCACGAAAAAAGAACCAAGATTCAAACTGTACCAAGTAACATGAATGGCATACAGCAACAGGATTATGATGACGAAGTCATTTTGTCTGTTTCAGCCAGTGATACTCCCACAGGTAACATGACTGGTGCTGAGGTTACACAGATGGAAACAAAGAAACAGGATGAAGGTAGTTTAGTCCTTGTTGATGACGTTATGCCAGATGAAACTGAGCAAGTAACTGGAACAGTGGAATATATCAGTGGTGATTCCCCACCAGAATCAGAGTCCACATTATTGATTGAAGATCAGGATACCACAGATCTTGTTGATGTCACTTCCATTAGAGATAAAACTGTCATTAATGATTCTGACGTCACAGAGCTTGCTGTTGCCCCTGACGTAGACAACGTCACAGATGTTGCAACTAGTATTGACAGTGTTTCGGATGATATTGACACAGAGACTAATAGTAGTCACGAGAATGCACCAGTGAATGATACAAGGATTCAAACTCCTGCTCAAGACATTCCACATGCTCAGATCAGACGATCAGAAAGAGCTAGACGGAAACCTGCATGGCAAACTAGTGGTGAATTTGTAATGTCACAAGCAGGTCGACCACCAGATTGGTTGGAGAAAGCAAGATTTTTGGAACATCTTGCAACCAGTGGAACTTACTACACATTACCTTCGAAAGTATCAGATGTTCTCTTGTCGGTTGTCAAGGATAACTGAGTGATGACAGGGACGTCATTTTTTGATAGGGGGGTAGTGTGTAGCAGAGACATTTTTCATGTTTTTAATAAGTCAGTTTGGTTTGTTTGTATAGAACTATTTTACAATTATTGAATATAAAATGGTGTTATAGTGTTTTATTGTTTACAAGTAAAATAAGAATAAAAATATTATATAAGTCATAAAAAGGTCACTAAAAATATTGAAGGTTGGTGGTAGTGTTCTAAAGTTTGTGGTTTTATGCATATGTCAATCATATTGATATTTGGTTGTATTTGTCAAGTATTTCAGATGAATTTCATTCATCTGAAACGTTCTTATTATGTTTAGGATTCACAAAATATGCTGGATCTAGAGTATGGTCTCATTCTGGATTATTGTTTATCACATGACCCTAATTCCTAGCTTTTAATTGGCTAATTTCAAATTCCCATAATTCCCAAGCACCAATATGAGCACCCCAGTAGAAACACTTTAGCACAGCACAGCACCCAGGCAACAAGGCAACAAGGTCTACTACACAGCATCAAACAGGTTAGTTAAATACTTTAACACTAAATTATGCTTAAGTGTATTTGTTCTTTGACATCTCCATTAAATTAATTGCAGTCTAAATGTTATTTGGTAATTTGTAATATATGGTCATGTTGTAAACCTACTAAACTTGGTTAATTACCTTAAAGCCAAAGTTCATGTTGTATTGTATTATAACTCATGTAAAACCAAATAGCATTGTAAGTAATGTTCTGTTTTTACAACCATTTCCCTCAGTTTTCTAAATGTATTTAAGTGCACTGGTTTTCTGTGTGTTCTGTGAGTGGAGAGCAGAACAAATTGTGAAAGCATTGTCATGTTGGTGAATGTTCTGTATGAGCAACCATGGTGCTCAGCTTTCCCTTTGTATGTGCTTACAATGGTTTTCTTTGCGTTGTGTGAACGTAGATCGTCAGTGACGGTGAATGTATTGTCACAATGATGAACGATGTTTGTAATTGGCAGGTCACATATGTATCAGCTCAACACGGATTAATCCGTAAGGCTCTATTCCACAAATGGGTAAGATGTATTTTAATATGTCAATGTATATCCTTTTTTTTTATGTACACCTTTCGGGTAACCTTTAAGGGTTACCAAATATTTATCTGGTTGTATGTCATGTTAATTGTGAACTTTATTGTCTGTCAGATATGTGTACATATTTTTGTAATTTAACATTATTTGGGCAAATGTGTTATTTGGCAATGAATTATCTCCCTTGGTGTCACAACCAACGTTGTGCATATAGTTTCATGCTATTAATATTTCCTTTGACAGTTTATAATGTGGTATAATTCACATGTGTAAATGTTAGACTACAGAATTAATTGTGGTAAGCTAATTGTGATACCTATGCAAAACATTATGTAATGTGTACATGTTTCTAAGAATGTTATGTGTGTTTCAGGGCTTGAAGTATGATATATAGTATCTGAATAAACCGCACCTCACCCCTACAGCGAGTCATGTGATCCTTTGACATTACTTGGCGTTTAACCAGCTGTAACAAACTAAAGAGTGTGAGTCGGATCTGACGTTGGTTGGACCACGTGTAGTATTAATATAGGAGGAGGGCCACAATCAGTGTGTGAAATAGTGTCCGAATTTTGCTGGCCAGTCTGGTTTGCTAGCCAACAAAATAATTCACTAGCCCGAAATTTTTTTACAGATTACTTTTAATGCATCAAAATATTTATACAACCCTCTTTTCACATTGATAGTGCCCCCCTTATTAAGAAAAGTTGACTACGGCCCTGGTTACAAAGAGTGCAAAAATACGTACCATTGTCCCCACCCCCACCCTTCCCCGCATCGTGGAACTGTTATCGATACTGGTTAATGCCGGTTTGTCCAATCCTTAGTCATTTTGTAATATTTCTGGTCGATCGTGAAACACTCACTCACGCACTCACTCACTTAACAACGCTCCCAAGCAGCGCCACCTGTGTCTATGACGTCACCAGACGGGAAGCGCCAGGTCGGATAGACTTCAGTCACTGAATGAAACGCCTGCACGTTCTTGGATCAGAGGCAAGAATTCCTGGAACTGAGCCTTCGGCCCAGTTACACCTCACAAGTAATGCGGTTGATGCCAAACTTTCTCTATAATTAGACCTAAGTCTTTCAACACTGCACTCGGCTGATCTTCCTTTCCAGACGACCGTCGAAGTCTACAGATTTTCTAAGCACGTGTCTGAAAGTGTTGTTGAATCAGTGTCTGAACCAGCTGATTAGGTTTCACATATTCATCTATGGTCAATTGAAATTTATAAAGTTCTAGCGTTTCGCAGTTGTCCCAGTGGGTTAGGGCGCAAAGAGTTGCGTCCCTTAGCGCTAAATGGATCCTGTTAGAATCCAATATTTCCCTGATTCTCTGGTGATGCTTGCCTGCTCACCACAATATCAAGCCTGAAACGCTTAGAGTTGCGTCCCTTTTCCATGCGAATTTCCGGGTTCGAATTCTAGATTTCTCCGATTCACTTGTTCAGCTTGCTGTTTCACCAAAATATCCGTTCTAATGCATAAAACGTTGCGTCCCGTAGTCTTGCAATATACCCAGGTTCGTTTTTTCACATCAATATCCGTGGGTTATTGCTTTACGGTTTTGCTGGGTTTGCTACGGTCTCCGTCCCGTTGGGTCTTCCTTCCACCTGAAGTCTAGCACGCCCTATGGACAAACGGCATTATAAACATTCACTTTATACAGGACTACAGGTAGATCCGCGGGATGAAACTGATCTTCAGCAGCCCATGCTTGTCGTGAGAGGCGACAAACGGGATCGGGTGGTCAGGCTCGCTGACTTGGTTGACACATGTGATCGCATCCCAATTGAGTAAATTGATGCTATTGCTGTTTATCACTGGATTGTCTAGTCCAGACTCGATTATTTACAGACCGCCGTCATACAGCTGGAATACAGCTGAGCGCGGCGTTAAACAACCAACCAACCAATATGATTGTTTGCGGAAACACAACATGTATTGTTTTCAGGAAAGGTTTCACAATGATTGACAGTAGCATCTAACTGTTACAACATCTTTGGTGCACTACAAAATAAGTTAACCGCCGATTGTGATTCCAAACCCAGCCACGTTCACAACCCTAGCATCCCGACCTGTATGTGAACATTGCCACCATTACTGTAACATATACTCTTAATAAAGTAGGGGGACCCGTGCATCCCGACCTGTATGTGAACATTGCCACCATTACTGTAACATATACTCTTAATAAAGTAGGGGGACCCGTGCATCCCGACCTGTATGTGAACATTGCCACCATTACTGTAACATCCCGACTCTTGAACATTGCCACCATTACTGTAACATGCACTCTTAATAAAGTAGGGGACCTGTGACCCCGACCTGTATGTGAACATTGCCGCCATTACTGTAACATTGCCACCATTACTGTAACATATACTCTTAATAAAGTAGGGGACCTGTGCATCCCGACCTGTATGTGAACATTGCCACCATTACTGTAACATATACTCTTAATAAAGTAGGGGACCCGACCTGTGCATCCCGACCTGTAATGTGAACATTGCCACCATTACTGTAACATATACTCTTAATAAAGTAGGGGGACCTGTGCATCCCGACCTGTATGTGAACATTGCCACCATTACTGTAACATATACTCTTAATAAAGTAGGGGGACCTGTGCATCCCGACCTGTATGTGAACATTGCCACCATTACTGTAACATATACTCTTAATAAAGTAGGGGGACCTGTGCATCCCGACCTGTATGTGAACATTGCCACCATTACTGTAACATATACTCTTAATAAAGTAGGGGGACCTGAACTTTCCATTTGGATTGGAAGTATAAGCGTTAAGAACTTTTCAAAGACAGACATCTTATGAACACGCCACCATTTCTATTTATCACCACCCCTAAACACAAAGCATGGGATGCAATGCACGTGCATGGGGTGTCATTCTTGATTTTGACGGTTTTCAAGAAGGTAGATTAATCACTGTAGACCATTAATTTTGACAATCATCTTGCATCACACAGTTGTTAGTGTTTCTGGTCGTTTATTTTTTATTGTTTGAAAATGAAATCGTACACATACAAATTTCACGTCAAACACCAATCATCTTTCAAGAGCGATTACTGTACAAACAACTATGGTCATAAGGAAGTGCAAGTGGTGATGCACTCTCATATCATATCAACATATATCTCCATTTTTTTAAATCGTAAATTAAAAATGATGTTCCCCTACTTTTTTAAAAGAGTATATATGTTTACCTAACGCCTGGCTGAACTGTCATGCTGAATAATATAACCACATACGTCAATGTTGACACTATAGTAACAAGAACTCGTGCGTTTCTGGTTCTTTTGTTGTGTCTGCTGCAATTTCTGTACCCATTAACAAGCCACCTCACGCCATATGTCACGTGATGTCACGTGACACCGGTGACAGGCGCGTTAATGACGAATCGAGCGTCTTCGGTAACAGGTGACAAGGCAGTTTATGAAGTAGTTAAAGTGACTGTCGTTTATGGCATAAGTGTTTCAAACTATCGAAGCATATGGTTTGGATTTCAGATAAATATTTGTATTTATTTTCCACACTTGATTCTAAAAGTGTGTATGTTGAAAGAGAATCGATTTGTTGCTTAGTTACATTAAAAGTCGTATATATTTGTCCGAATCTAGCACATGGCTGAAATAATGTTGTCACATTGAAATATTGAATATGTTGCCAGTAGTTGTGGTGGACAGTGATGGTTGCTATGGCAGCGTGGTAGATGTAGATAGATTTAATACAATTAAGGTCATCTAAACCAAGGTCATCTAAACCAGATTTATATTTGGTTCATTATAATGTTGTCATAATCAAAGTTTAACTTTTTTTAACTGATCAAGAAAATGGAGTGTGAGACAGATAGAGACTATGTTGCTCTCACACTTGCCCTCAGTGATACATTTCTGGAGTAAGGCCAAGAAAGATTTAAATGTTTCACATCATTGTGTTGGGGATTTTTGCCGGGCCTGTTGTCTGATGGTTGTTAATTGAAAATAATAATGAAAATCAACTCTTTTTTAATATTATTTTGAATTATTTGTGATAAATATAGACTTGAAAATTGTTTAGAAATATGCGCAATATATTAACTAATTGCATTCAGAAACACTTTATATTGTTTCTCGCGCCTACATCAAGCTGCTGTCCAGAGGTGTCCAACAGAGCGTCTAATTGCGTTGCTGTTTCATGGACAGAGCCCAAAGTGAATTCACCTTGAAGAGTGTATTGCTTGCTATGTTGAGCCAACGGTGGCCCGACGGTCACAATTACGTTGGCCCAACGTCAGAATGCTATCTGGGAAATACTACTGACGTAGTTGTTGCAGTACTTGTATTGTTCACGAATTGTGAGTTTGTACTAGTACGCGCAGAATTGTCATCCATTCATTCATAAAAACGTATTGATTGATTGATTGATTGATTGATTGATTGATTGATTGATTGATTGATTGATTGTTTGTTTGTTTGTTTGTTTGTTTGTTTGTTTGTTTGTTTGTTTGTTTGTTTGCTTGGTTGGTTGGGTTGGTTTCATGGGTTGTGAGTGAGTGAGTTTGTATTACGCCGCTTTCAATACGTTCCGTCGATTTTAATGTTCGTGTACGCGGAATGCTAAGTGAACGCTCGCTGTTCACACAGTACCTGTAAACAGTATTTCAGTAATACCACGGTGTGGCGACTCAATGATGGAGGATAGATTGAAGTGACGCAGCTGTCTCGTGTACCACTTCGGTGAAGCCAGTTGAAAAAGACGAAACTTTGAAAAACACTCACAGCTCTCAGCTAGTAAACTCCACATAAGATATTATTTAGAAATCGCCACCGGCACGTTGATACATTAAGCCTCGTCGAGGTAACGCAATGTGTTACAAACTGTAGCGGTTGCGCACTGGTGATAAAAACCCGTCATCTTGGAAACTCCTACATCGTTGGCGGTCATAACATATACTATCATACTTTACTTCCGATTGTAATGTGTTCAAAATGTGTTCATTATTTTCATACAACTATTGCTGTTTTTAGAAATTAATATCTGTTAATTTTTTGAAATATTAAGTTGTGTCCGATTGTCCCCTACTTTTTTTCGAAGAGTGTAAAAAGTAATGCTTGACCATGTATTCTTCTACTTAAGCCATGTAATAAAAAAGCACATTTCATCACCCCATCAAATAAAGAGAAACAACCGTCCCGTTGTCATAACAATTCACACCGGGTTATCAAACATGACACAAACAGGCCAGCAGACCTGGCCAATCAGGTGCCTTAGTCACCAGAGACCTGGTGCAAGCTCATGACGGTGAGAGGGATTCACTGTGTGTACAGCTTAGCGTATGGTATGTCCACCCACGCGACTGCTGGGGTCACAACCACGGGGCACATGACATCACAGGGGGTGTGGCTTTTCTTAATGGTCATGCTATTTATAACGGAGGTGGGAGTGGCCGAAGTACATCAAACT